TTCCATGGCTCAGGCCAGTTGCAGACTGCCTGAACCTTCTCAGCAGACATGGTGAGACCGGAGGGAGAAAGAACATAACCAAGGTACTTGACAGAGTTGGAGTGAAACTTGCACTTCTCTGGCTTGGCATAAAGACCATGCTTTCGAAGGCAGCAGAGTACCTCTTTTACATGTTCACAGTGCAACTCCACATCCTGCAAATAAACAAAGATGTCATCAAGGTATACCATGATGCAGACATCAAGCATGTCTGCAAAGATGCTATTAACAAATTGCTGGAAAGCCACAGGCACATTAGTCAGACTGAATGGCATTACCTGCCACTTGTAAGAACCATAATGAGTGTGGAAAGCCGTTTTCCATTCATCTCCATCTGCGATGTGGACCAGATGATAGGCATGGCAGAGGTCAATCTTGGTATAGACTTTAGTGTGGCTTGGGGAGTCAAGTAGGTTGGAGATGAGTGGCAGCAGATAGTGATCTTTTTTTGTGATTTTATTGAGTCCTCAATAGTCCACACAGAGGCAGAGTGAACTGTCCTTCTTCTTTATGAAGAGGACAGGGGCACCATGAGTGGAGGTGGACTGCTTTATGAAACTGTAGCCAAGGTGCTCATCAATGAAGGTGCAGAGAGCTTCAAGCTCTGGTGGAGACAGAGAGTAGACCATGCCAATGGGCAGAGAAGCTCCTTCCTTGAGGTCAATCTTGAGATTGAATGAGCAGTGTGGCAGAAGTTCAGTAGCCTTGTCTTTACTAAAGATGTTGGCAAACTCGTGATACTCAGGAGGGACTGAGGAGAGGTCAGGAGGCAGAGAGGAAGTGGAGGACACATGAAGCTTCACATCATCAGTGGAGAGCTGTAAGTGGAACTGTCTAGAGCCAGGGAGAGCAAAGGCTCCGACATATGCAGCAGCATTGACAAGTGAGACAAGCAGAGCAGAGAGCAGCAAGTCTGTTGGAGGTGCAGATGGAACTGCAGATGGAGTGGGGGGTGTCAGATCTGGAGCGGAGGTCACAGTGGAAGGTGACGAAGGTGCCTGGGGTGTCAGCATTCCCTGTAATGATGGTTGGAATGATATACTGCCCAGTACCCAGTCAATTGACAGATTGAAGCAGGTGAGCCAGTTGTGTCCTAACACCAGTGAACATGAAGAATCCAATGGAGTAACATAAAATGAAACAGAGTTGACACTGCCAGAAGGAAAGCAGAGGGAAAGATCTACCTCTTGGGAAATGACAGCATTTGTACTACCATCAAACAAGTGGAGTGGAACTGGCAGAGAAACAGAGGAAACAGGAATAGCATATTTTTTGATTATGGATGGGTCTACAAAACAATGAGAAGAGCCAGAGTCAATCAATGCAGAAACAGCATCAACAGAGTAATCAAGAAGAGTTACAGATGGAAGTAAAGAATTGGGACTAGAGAGAGTGGACACGTTGAGTCAGATGTCCAGTTGCGCACAGTTGGGATCAATGCTTCCTCCAGGCTGTGCAAGCTCCCTGGAGGAGTGGACTAATTTTTCAGCTCTGCCTTCTCCATGGGCAGAGGAGGTGGAGTTCCAGTTGTAGCTGCATGGGCTTTGGCTGCATGAGAGGTAGACTTGGGACAGTCCTTAGCAGAGTGGCCAGCCTCACCACAGAAGAGGCAGAGGTTGTTCTCCATCCTATGCTGGCATTCAGTGGAGGTGAGTTTGCCATCCTTGCCCAGAAGATGGGCAATACTGGACTTGGGCAGATCTTTCTGCTTGCCCTTGCCCTTGGCATTGGACTTTGGAGCAGAGGTGGAGGACAATGATTTAGACTTGTTGTCAGAGCTGGAAGGCTGCAACTTGTTGGTGGCAGATTTGGTGGTGCATGAGATCTCTGCTTTACACTCCCAGTAGCACACATCAACGGTCTGAGCAGGTTCACAGAGTTGTGCAAGGGTAGAAGGTTTTCCTATGCCAGCAATCTCATCCTTGATGCAGTCTGGAAGTCCACTATAAAAGCAGTGGCAGAGTGCACTGACACTGTAGTCCTTGACCTGTGAAGCCCAGTGATTGAACTCCATGACATATTTGGTAATTCAAGAGCCATCCTTCATAGTAAGGTTCTCAAGTTGTTGGACAGCATCTGCTATGGCATCATGCAGACTAAAATTAGTTGTGAGCTCTTGTAAGAACTCATGATAGTCATCCATCCAGAGCAGGCAGTCATAATTGTCAGGGTTTAGTAGGTCTGGCTCAAACCAAGCCAGGGCCATACCCTTAAGATAAGACTGAGTGAAGGTAACCTTCGCTCTGTTGGAGCAGAACATGTGGGGGCAGTCCTGGAAGTTCAGCTCACATTGTATGAGGAACTCACAGAGTTTCTTAGGGTCAGAGCCATTGAAAGTGTCAGGCTCATGGACTTTGGTTTTCAGAGTGGAGTCCCCAGTGTGCAAACTAGACTGCACAAGCACATGGACAGCTCTAGCAGGAGCCACAAGGGGATCCTCTGGTGGCTCAGCCAGGTCTTCAGGGATATCCCTGTCACTGCTGCCCCCACCATTAGGATCACCATCAGGGTCATCAGGGTCGGGTCCATCATCTCAGTTTCAAGGAGATGGAGTATGGAAAGTGGTTGGGTGGAGGTCAGAGTGACCAGCTTGCAAAGTGCTTTTGCCTTCAGTGTGAGAATGGCATCAAGTGGAGAATGATTGGAACTGTTCAACAATGGAAGGGAGTCGACATGGATTAGCTAGCACAACAGCAAGGTTCTCAGTGACCTCTCTCTGGGATTGAGCTCAAGTTCTCATAACAGTGTAAGTTTTTCAGAAGACAGAAAATGAGATTGTACAAGTGTGAGTATGATTATACAGTCAAGTCCAGGCCTACTCTGATCAACTCCAATGCTGGATGAGGTCTGGGGAGAGGTTTGGAAGCAAGTCCAACAGAAAGAGCAGAACTCCAACTAGCAGAGTGTTGGCAGGAACGAAATCTGCCAAGGTAAGGGCAGAGTGAAGTGAGGGCATCGGGTTTAGTTCATGCGCTACCCCCTTGCATGATCTCAGCCCTCATATTTCAGAGGGGGAGTACAGATGGACAGTCAGAGGTAACTCTGACAGGCAGAAGACAGAGACAGAGGGAGTAAGAACTAAGTTGATATTTGTACTGAGGAATGACAGAGTATGATACATGCTTTTATACTACCACAGAGGTACAGTAACCAGAACTGGAACTGACATATGGAGACCCAGCAATTTTCAAGTAAAACTTCCTAGACAATGAATGAAGGGTAGATGGAGGACATATGAATGGGTAACATAGAACATCCAGAAAAGGAAACAGTCCAGGCACTGGACCATGTGGTGCATGCACTGCAGAGTACCTGACTGCAAGCTGTCAGGGAGGAGTCTGAAGGTAGTCACATGACTCCTCAGAGAATGGTCCATTTGGTCTGGTAGGAGAGCAGTACAAGTCTGACAGCAGCTGGAGTGGAGACAGCTCATAACTGACAGAAGTTGGGCAGAGTTGGTGCAGAGTGAGTGAACAACTGGCAGAAAGGGGTGTGGAGTGAGTGAGGACCTAGGATGAATGCATGACCATGACACATTGCCTGTTTCAACAACAGCTGAGCTCTGGTTATGCAGACCAGCCATGTTGCATGTTACAGTGTGTTTTCAAGGGCATTCCTGTGTCTAAGATCAGCAATTCACATGACCACAAACCTCAGACTTGCTCAATTTTTTCTGCTCCTCACTAGTGTGACAGCTGCACCCTGACATTGCAATGATACTGTACTAGGCTAATGCTACTTATTCTGCTTTTTCCAGGATTTTTACAAATTCTTTTGGGGGCTGGCCACATTTTTGGGTAAATTTCAAAAACTTAGTATAACAAAAATTGGCTCATGCAGATTACATTGTTATGTCCTAAATATGCCTAGTATACATTTGTAACACCCTTGGAATGTTGTGCCATATTTGAATAATTCAATGAGTAAAATTGTCATGTTTGTCTGTTGACAACTGTCAAACAGGATATTTTGTGCATGACAGACCCACCATGGTCCTCATTGGAAGAACTGGATGAGTCATTTTATCAGTGATACATTGTACTGTTTTATGTGTTTCATCTTTTATTTTAGGATATAATTGTGGAATCTGTAGATAGACCTCAATATGCTGACAAGCTACTGAGGGACTAAGTGCACAGCAGAGCAGAGCAGCAAGAGGCCTGATGATGCAGCTAGGGCAGAGATGCTGAAATATTGGAAAAACAATTCAAGCACACTGGAAGGGAGTGGTCAGCTTGTCACCTATGAAACAATGTCAAAGAGAGACAAACTTGGATCTGTGCACAAGGCAGTCATTCCCACAAATGAACCTAAACAGCTCAGAACCTTCACAACACCTCTACATATAACATGCCTACTTCACAGTTATTCTGTGGTAGAACAGGATATTTTAATACATTATTTATTTATCATGTTTTCTGGGAGATATGATACTGTAATTTGACCTAGAACACTTGGCATGCTCTCAGTACCATGTTCTTGTACATAACAATTGTAGTTTAGCATGTCATGTTTTTAGAGAAACCATTGAACTGCTGTTCTGTTTTTTTTTCAGGTGAACATTGAAAGACTTGGCCAAATGTTTTTATTATTATCACATACAAAACATATATCATTTACTTTTGATGTTCTATGTAAAATTACATGTTCTTCAATGATCAGTGTGTTTAAATTATTTTGTGGTAAAGTATTTGATTAATGTATTACATAACATGTAGAAAACAGTACTACTAATTTTTTTGATGATTGTTTTTGGTTTTTGGTGGTGGGTCATGGTAATTGTTTTTCACCAATAAAATATTGGAAATCCACTATGTCATGTCTTCTGTCAGAAACACTTTTCAAAATTCAACATTATTGCCAGTTGTTTCAGCAGAGAACATGAGATAAAAAAAAGTATCTTTTCAAAGATTTCTGTCCCTATGTTTGTACAAAGAAAATTGTAAAATGCTTGCTGTGAATCAGATGGTAAATGACAGTGTCTTGACATCTGCTCTCATAGAATCTTCTGCAAAAAAATGTCATCAGTACCAAAATTGTTGCTACCCTCCCCTATTTTGCCTTCTTTGGGCTCAGTGAAGTTGGCACACCTGCAGAGGAAAAACTGGGGTCTCCACCCAATGGGTTTGGCCAAAGCTCAAACAGCTCAACCACATGCTTTGCAAAATCCTGCCTGCTAACATCTGCACTCCAGGTGTTATTGTAGGTGGGGTTCATGCACCACCACCCATGCAATTCTCCCCACCATGGAAATTCCTTCTTGATTGTTACTGATAACAATTAATAAAGTGACAGATATGAAAAAAAGTCTGCATACTGATGATATTTTTTGCACTGTTGCTGCCCACCAGATCCTCATAGCAGCATCCAGCACCCATCTGCTTGATTAGTGCATTCTGTTTTCAATACTTAGTTTTTAAACTATAAAATGTTTAAGTGGTAATTTTTTTATTTCAAAAAAAAGCATGCACATGCCAAGTCAACTGCAGATAAGAGCAGCAAAGACAGATGGGTTGTCTCAAGCAAGGACCTGGAATTTGGGTGTCCTGTCACTGACTGAGAAGATTGCCTTCATGATCTCAACATAGATGGCACCCTTCCCATGTCACAATTGCCACTTATTCCCACCTTCCTCTCAAGCATCTTGTGTAGAGTCTACAAAGAGCTTCTTTCATTGTGTTTCATGGGTCCTGCACCACTTAATAAGATAACTTGAGGGACCACAATTTTTGTTGCTGATTTGGAGGTGTCTTGGAAGTTGTGAGATCTGGCAAAGAAACAACTTGTTTCCATGTTTCACTCTGGGAGGCACTGCACCTCAATCTACCCCACTTCAATATATGTCAACTGTCAAAGTAGCAGTTGGATCTCAGACTTGGACCCAGGGCCTGCAGAGGTCACAACTGTGAATCATGTCATTAGAAAGATCAATTTACAGATGCTATGTCTAACTCTCAAGCAACAGGCCTGAACTCCTCAAATCTTATGTTTGCTCACTGTTACAATCTCTAATAGCTCTTGTGCCAATTTCAATATCCTTTAGACTATCTTCTTGATACCCATGTGGGTTACAATTCCTGTGCTGTCTTTGTGATCATGCAATGGGAGTTTGTCAGCAGTGTGCTGTGGATTTTGTGGCCTCAGTGGATGTGCCATTTGGGCTGATTTTGAAAGGACATTCTATGGTCCCAGAATGGAACTTTTGAACCCATCTCACAATTTCACAGCATTCAATGATTATGGTGAGAATGTCAGATCCAGAACCACACCCATCTGCACATGGGTTCTACCCACCAAAGGCTGCAATATCTAAAGTGCTTGACATTGGCTGTTAGGGAAGCCATGCTTTGGTCACTGTTGTCACTGCAGGTCACTCAAGGAAGGATGACACCATCCCTGTCCTTTGGGTGATGCAAGCTGCACAAGCAGATGTCTTTGATGTTGGTGTTCCATTCTATAACCCCATCACAGTGATCAAGACACTACCCCTGTAAGTCCATTCATTCCAAATCTCTATAAGGAACACATCAGGTTGCTCCTCAAAATGGAGTAAACTATGCAGTGATTCTTGGAGCAATGGCCTTATGGTTCCATTACTTCTAATAAGTGAGTCAAGTTTAAAACTTGATAAGGTTATTTGTGCTCATCAACTTGTGCAGGTTGGTACCCCTATCCTTGAATGCCACTAAAACATGCAGACAGGGCACATGTGATGCTGGTGCTAGCAGATTCATTGCAGAGGACTTCCTGCCTGAAGAGGCATCTGGTTTTCACAGGAATTGCATGGAAGTGGGGTGAGTGTAGGTCATTGAATCTGGGGCCCAAAGCAAACTCATTGATGGCCTATAGGCTTGTCCCTCATGTGGCACTGTTGATATCCCTGTGCTGGCTTCCTGTCTCATATAAAATTTTGCTTTTGTGCAAGCTCAACATTACCAGAGTATGCATGTCACCTCTCTCAGATGGGGACCACTTAGCCTTCCATTTAAGGGTTGGTGGACAGCAAACTTCTTGACACCATCATTTGTATCTGAAATCCACCTTGATGCTGTCATTATCAAGAGTCACATAGTCTGCATGTGTGGTCTGGTCCAGTTCCTTGGGTAGTCAAGGATGTTGGTGAAGATTCAACATTTACAGGTTCTCCCTGCCTTGTCAACACACTGGAATCTCTCAGCTCTTACATAGAAATGGGCTGACCACCTTGACCAGCACATTTGAGAAATTGTGGAGGAAATCCAGCTGATGACCGTGTGCAACCTGTGAGTCATTGAATTTAGCACATGATGTACATTTGAGGTGGTTGATGAGTGAGGTGGGTAATTTGTCAGGTGTTTGATACCAATACAAGTGCCAATGCAACATTCTATTGTTCATACTGTACTTAGTGTGTAGAATACAAAGTCATTGACAAGGATAAAGTGCATATGTATCAACACTAGGAAACATATTTGAAACAGTCCTGCCATTTGTTTCCATGGACCATTTCACTCAAGTCCAGCTCCACACAACATCCTCCAGGAATGATTAATTTGGTATGCATTGAATAAAATGGGGTCTGCAAAGATGCAGGTATCCATAAAAGCAATCTCCCCTGTGAGCCTCTGATCCAGCCATCAGGGTGCAGCAGGACTGGTTGAGTTATGTCCTCCAATGTGTGGTCATCAAGAAGTTGTCCACTGTCAGGTAATGCATGTGATGAGACTGAAGAAAAACAAATGGGATGTGTCCCATGAATATGAGTGGCTGTCAGAATAAAGTCAGATACTGTAACAGCATAAATACAGATAGCTGTAAATAATGGACTCACCATTAACATGCAACATGGTAGGAGGACCATTCCCACCTCCTGAGATCCCAACAGCTTCACCCATTGAGCCAGAGATAATCATATTGGGATCAGAGGAGAATGCAACTGAGTGGGCATCCTGAGTATGCCCCTTCAGAGGGGTGCCAATCTGATCTCCACTCCTTGCATCCCAGACCCTCACAGTCTTGTCCTCTGAGCCTGAGACAATCCTGTTGCCATCAGGGGAGAATGCAACTGAGGTGACATCCTGAGTATGCCCCTTCAGAGGGGTGCCAATCTGATCTCCACTCTTTGCATCCCAGAGCCTCACAGTCTCATCCCTTGAGCCTGAGACAATCCTGTTGCCATCAGGGGAGAATGCAACTGAGGTGACACTTGAAGTATGCCCCTTCAGAGGGCTGCCAATCTGATCTCCACTCTTTGCATCCCAGAGCCTCACAGTCTCATCCCTTGAGCCTGAGACAATCCTGTTGCCATCAGGGGAGAATGCAACTGAGGTGACACTTGAAGTATGCCCCTTCAGAGGGCTGCCAATCTGATCTCCACTCTTTGCATCCCAGACCCTCACTGTCTTGTCCAAAGAGCCTGAGACAATCCTGTTGCCATCAGGGGAGAATGCAACTGAGAGGACATGCTGAGTATGCCCCTTCAGAGGGGTGCCAATCTGATCTCCACTCTGTGCATCCCAGACCCTCACAGTCTTGTCCCAAGAGCCTGAGACAATGCTGTTGCCATCACAGGAGAATGCAACTGAGGTGACCCAATTACTATGCCCCTTCAGAGGGCTGCCAATCTGATCTCCACTCTTTGCATCCCAGACCCTCACAGTGTTGTCCAAAGAGCCTGAGACAATCCTGTTGCCATCAGGGGAGAATGCAACTGAGGTGACATTCCAAGTATGCCCCTCCAGAGGGCTGCAAATCTGATCTCCACTCTTTGCATCCCAGACCCTCACAGTCTTGTCCCCTGAGCCTGAGACAATCCTGTTGCCATCACAGGAGAATGCAACTGAGGTGACCCAACTACTATGCCCCTTCAGAGGGCTGCCAATCTGATCTCCACTCTTTGCATCCCAGACCCTCACAGTGTTGTCCAAAGAGCCTGAGACAATCCTGTTGCCATCAGGGGAGAATGCAACTGAGGTGACATCCCGAGTATGCCCCTTCAGAGGGCTGCCAATCTGATCTCCACTCCTTGCATCCCAGACCCTCACAGTCTTGTCCTCTGAGCCTGAGACAATCCTGTTGCCATCAGGGGAGAATGCAACTGAGGTGACATAAGAAGTATGCCCCTTCAGAGGGCTGCCAATCTGATCTCCACTCTTTGCATCCCAGACCCTCACAGTGTTGTCCTCTGAGCCTGAGACAATGCTGTTGCCATCAGGGGAGAATGCAACTGAGGTGACCCAATTACTATGTCCCTCCAGAGGGCTGCCAGTCTGATCTCCACTCTTTGCATCCCAGACCCTCACAGTGTTGTCCCCTGAGCCTGAGACAATCCTGTTGCTGTCAGGGGAGAATGCAACTGAGGTGACATTTGAAGTATGCCCCTTCAGAGGGCTGCCAATCTGATCTCCACTCTTTGCATCCCAGACCCTTACAGTGTTGTCCCCTGAGCCTGAGACAATCCTGTTGCCATCAGGGGAGAATGCAACTGAGGTGACATGCCAAGTATGCCCCTTCAGAGGGCTGCCAATCTGATCTCCACTCTTTGCATCCCAGACCCTCACAGTCTTGTCCAAAGAGCCTGAGACAATCCTGTTGCCATCAGGGGAGAATGCAACTGAGGTGACATTAGAAGTATGCCCCTCCAGAGGGCTGCCAATCTGATCTCCACTCTTTGCATCCCAGACCCTCACAGTGTTGTCCCCTGAGCCTGAGACAATCCTGTTGCCATCAGGGGAGAATGCAACTGAGGTGACATAAGAAGTATGCCCCTGTAGGGCAAGCTGCACAGCTGGCCAGTCCTGCAGACCCCCCTGAGCAATTTGTACAAGGTGGGAGAATTTGGGCATAAGCTGTCTGGACAACAAGGAAGTAGAAGGTGCAATGGGCAATGCAGACAGGTATAGGTGTGGTGCACTGCATGAAATTGCTGTGGTAAAGTTCTGCAACAATTTGACCCCATCCATTGCTAATGCTGCTGGTACTTCACAACCTGCCTGGCCCTGCACATGACATCAGATGACATTAAATGCCACTCAGCAACTGAAGTACTTACCTGTAACCATCTGCCTGTGATTGCAAGAGAGGATTCAGCACTCCCCAATGCTCCAAGAAGGCTGAGAGCCTCAATCCAGAACAGCATTTTTTCACTCTCTACAATGCCTTGCACAGATGTTGCAAGGTACGAGTCAAACTTGGCCATCTCCAAATGCTCTGCCCAGAATTTGCACGAATAGGATAAGTGTTGTGGAATATTTGACTTGATTCTCTCCGCCAAGTCAGGAATCTGGGAGTTGCTGAGGTATGAATTTTCCAGCCTGCAGATGTTGAAACGCAGCTCCTTGGCGAGCACTTGCAACGAGGCATAGGCTAGATTACTTGAGTCAGAAGTGTCGATGAAGTAGACTCCACTTCGCGAATGATCAGTTAGGAAGTCATAAAAGGATGCATGGAGAGGTCGAACAGGAGATGAGTGGTCAGCAATACCCCCCAGCACTGGAGCCATGAATTGAAGGACTATGACTACATCATAGTGGTCTGCTTCAGTAGGGAAGAGACTGCGCATATGATTCAACGCCGCCATGGGCAAAGGTTCCAACATCGTCAGAAGCTGCTGCATGACGGAGCGGAACCGCAGAAATGGTGTCCCTGACTTTGGCACGACGCTGCCTAGGATGGTGGCATACATGCCATCCAAAAGTGTCTTCCCCTCGTCCGATGGGATGGCTATTAGGCTTTTGAATCGTTCTTCCACAGTTTCACCAAAGGCGCGATTCGGGTCGACAAATTCGCAAGCCAGACGTGCCCACTCGAACAAGCCATTCGACTTGTGAACGATCTGCTGTATCTCCATCGGCCCAATACTGTCTTTGAGACTAAGAAGTTCCTTCGAAACGAATAGAGTGATGTCACGTTGCGACAGCTCTGCAGGGACATCGTCCAGACACATCGCTTTGACGTTCATGGCATCCCTTAGAGCACGTTGGATATCCGGTAAGGCTCGGGATGTTAGCAAGATCCGAAAATTCGACGGCAACTTTGCGGCCTCCTTCGACGCCAGAAGCGACAGAATATGCTTCCTCGATAAAACCTCTCCGCTTTCGTCCAACGCATCGATCACCACCACTACATTCCCGACAATAGAACCTGCAGCCTTGGACAACGGTTCCAAGATCAGTTTTTGCCACTGTTGCAACAAGTCGGGCGTCCTCTTAAGAGAGGGGTCTTCAGCGAGAACATGACCTAATGCTCGTCGAAAAGCGGGGTAGCGGTTGGCCAAATCATGGGAAAGAGTCGTCAGCATCTTCTCTTCCCGACGCTCAGCCTGCTTGTCACGAGCAAAACAAAAGCAGGATCCAAGCCCTCCCACATCCTTGAGCCAGGATGCTATGGTATGGGCGATCGCAGATTTGCCCCTTCCAGCCTGCCCGTGAAGCCATAAAATCCGTCGGGTGTCGGGGAGGGTATCGTTGACCCAGTTAATGATGTCTTGTAGAATCTCTATCCTCGTGTTCTCTAGGCATTTCTTCATCGTATTCAAGCCCGCCCCGTCTGCGTAAGCCATGCCCTCCATGTTCAGGTCCTCGAGAACGCGATACACGTTGATCTGGATGTCCCGGGCCTGGCAGTCTCGGTATTGCTGCATCAGCTCGTCTAGAGTCTTGGCGTAGTCGTTGATAGCAGTCTGCGTCTCGGACATTATGTTCTTTCCGAGTCTCTTCCCTGAGAAGGTATGAGGTCAAAATCTCAACCAGAGAACAACAGACGTACAAAAGTTTGTTGTTTCTGAGTAATCTCTGATGAACTGCGCACAGGCATTGATTACCTGCGCGATTTTTGCCAACGGGAGTCTCATGGTATCAATGTTCTTCATGGTGTCGTCTTCCAAAAGGAATGCGTACACAGAACCGACTTTTTTCAAGAGCTCCGATATCGCCCTATCTAGGTTCGCTTGCGTAATAATCAACTAGCGCAAGGGCGGTGAGTAAAGAAAGTAAATAATGGACCCTGAGGCGTACTTGGGAAGCGGCCGTGAGAATGCCCAGCGCTATCTGGGCGTAGGGATGGACCTGCGTGGGATCGTTCAGTCGCAGCGCAGATGCCAGAACAAACCTACGCACGTTTGCAATGGTGGTGACTACATTGTTAAAGATTTTAAGAGGTTGGAGATAGGTGCTACTCAAGTTCTGAAGGTCAGCAACCGCGGTACTAGCTTTTGCGACAGTGTTGACAGCAATTTCGCCAGCACGGGGGATGGGTTTCATGCTGTCGAAAACTTGTCGAGCAATATCGAGGTTGTCATCTGCCAAAGCTGGGTCAGGATCAGGTTCTGCTTTACTGGGCAGCCCTTGAGTCTATGAAAAATAAGCGCTTAGCATTGTTGCAGTGCCGGACGCCACAAAACACCTACATCAACATCTTGGGCAACTTTTCGCGGTTCTGGGTCTTCATGGGCCCCTTCAGATACAATGGGATCGGCAGAGGAACTTGACGGGCCTCGGTGAGACCGAATGAAGCGACTTTTCATAGCGGCCAGTTTGCCCTTGAAACCATGACCCGAATGCCCAGGATTCGATGCAATGCCTCCAACAGGAGCCTCGGACTGCCCTTGAGACTTGTGTTTGGCCGATCCATTAGTCTGGTGCGTTGGCAAAAGCAGATTGCTTACTGGAGGGACGTTAGGCGCTGATGAGGGAGACTTTCCAATATATGGCAAACGACGTTTCTTTGGCTGGAGTCTGGCCATTGAGGAATTGATAGTTTGGAAGCGATATGTACTGAGAGTTGGATTGCGGTGACTGTAAGTTAGATTACAATGTCGTTCGAGTAGTAGTTGCGTGCTGTGTAGGTGTCTGGCGTACACGTGTGGATGGCTGTCTGCTCTCATAGCCACGCTCAGCGCTCAGCGCTCATTCTGCTGTCTCTGTCCCCTTCCCTCTTCCATCTCACCAAACGCCTCTCGCTCGAGCTCCGACTTTTTCCATCTCGCCTTGCATGCCCCTGTGGAGAGCGTCACAACGGGTGGTCGTCATCGAACGGCAGCAACGGCCGGGGATAACAAACAAGAAGTAACCGAGGCATCTGGCATCTGAGGTAGACACCATAGGTAAGTCACCCTGCATGAACCACTGCGTTACAACACCGTTGTCGTACGAAGCGTGCAGAGACTTGTCTTCCACCATCCTCACTCAGACTCCCCCGCAGCCCTGTGTCTGCACATGATTGAATTTATGAGTTGTACTAACTCTCCACTGAATAGCAAGCAGCTCGGCCAAGGTGCTGCGATCGACGAAATGCCACGGTTCCCCGCTTAGGCATCGTCGACCGATAACACATCGTCCCAGGATTTCCGCTGTGCTACGCGTAAGTCTCCCATTTCCTCGTGATAGTATTCTGCGCTTTTCTCAATGTCGTCTTGCGTTCGAGACAGTCACTAATTCCACTGCAAACTTAGTTCCTCAATTCTCCGTAGATACTCTAACATCATAACATCAGTTCTGGCGCATATCCCTATGTAGCATTCACCTGGCCTGTGTCACCCGGAAACTATTGACCTCACATTCGAGCATGATATAGAACGAGAATTCACAGAACATACCGCTCGCTATGATGACCTCGTCGACTATTCTCCGAGGCATCACGCCAAGACGGTGCTCCGAGACAAGGTTGGCATTCGCACCGATTGCGCTTGGAGTGGGTAAGTGCGGCTCATCCATGGTCATCGAGTTGTTGCTTCTCGCTAGCCTTTTTTATGAGGGCATGTTGGATCGCCTCGATCGGAGTGCAGTGGTTTTCCTTCGCCATGATCGCGTAGCAGGTTGGCGCATTGGAGGCAGGAGCCTTCGGAGGATGTTTCTGGGAAGCGCAGAACTTTCAGGTCTATTATCAGCAGAGGCACCAATCCGCAAAGGATCAGGAATTTCCTCCTATGTCACTTTCCAACGAAAGATGATGGACTCTACCGGACCAGTTCAGTCGGTGACTTACCCATCTCGTTGGCTAGCGAACTGCCACATCCTCGTAGATTTTCCCTCGCTCTTACACATGGGTTTACGAGTATCCGGAGCTTGAAATATGCAATATTGCGGTTGTAACATTGTTGAGCTTCGAATTGTCAAACACCTGCTTGTTTTCCTGGTAGCGGAACGCTGTCTGACTCTAGGGGGTGATATGCACATTCTCAGTGATGAAACTGCGTGAATTAACATTCTACCTCGTGCATTGCTACACTAGAGTCGGCAACAGTACCCAACGGAACCGGTCGTATCTCAGGTCCCTCGATCATTTTGCCTGGCTGCATCGTAGCAAAAGCACTCGGGATAGGTATCCCACACAATAACCCCGCCCTTCATGGATATGTCCATGATGTGCGCTATTTTTGCCTGTCTTAGATGGCGGAGGGGAACCTGACCCGAAGGGGAAATGTTGGATGACAGGAAGTTTGCCTAGTACCTCTGCTGCGTACACTTTGATCACTCCTGCGCTGACCTTTTACCGTGTTTTTATCTGTAAAAAGTATTTGAGAAAGGGAAATGCGGTACTTGAGTCCCAGTGAAAGCTCGACATGTCCAGGCATAGCCAGAAATGCTGCATTATGAATTTCCTATTTAGGACTATTACCCGTTCTTAGTTTTTGTTACTCAATCTGATAATGCAACTTTTTTGTGATGCGAAGTCCGCATTGATGCGATGGTCAATAGCGAAAACGCAAAGCAACGCTTTACTAGCTTTACTTCGCATGCATGTGAAGCTTTTCTTTGCCTTGTCCTCCACAACTTTCCACCAACTGTTGTATTCACTATGGACCAATACAATTGCATCTGCACAAAATACAGCTTTGGGCACTTGCACAAGGTGTCCCCCCATACTACATGGCTACAACATCTCAATGAAGCACCAACAAATGAAGAAAGGCAATGTATATGTTTGGCAAGACTCTTGGGAGAGCACATTTCCAATATACCGGCTGCCCCAGGCACACCAGACTCACCACAGGCTTTTGATGATTCTGTGCCCCCCAGTGTTTGTACAGCTGAGGTGCACCATGGACTAGCCAAACAAGCCAAGGAAAACAAGGACCCTAACCATTTCATAGGACAGTGCAAGCACACCAAAAATGCCCAAGTGCATCCAGAAAACAATACAGAACTTGAGGTATGTTTTATCATCAACTTACTGATTGGACACATACACAGATTGCAAAGGAAGTAATAGCAGTCCACTCAATTAGTTCAACAGCCAGAAGCCATTTTGTGATGTGGATACCTCTGATCTTCTCATATTGGTTTTGCTGATTGAAGCTGTTGGGCACTCGGGTAAGCCACATTACTGTGTGTTTGGTCCAATGTCATATGCATGACTCTGCACACAATGGGAATGATAGGAACTCAAACAATGCTTCTAAACGACTTTGGTCAAGTGGACACCCTGACAATACAGCCAGATCACTATAGTTTCTCACAGTCATTAAATGACTTCAGCATTTTGCCAATAGCAGGTGAGGCAACCATGTCCACACTGTCCCCATTTCATAGCATAAGTTACACATTTCTTGAGTCAGTTTGACTGATCACTTTGTTTTAGGGCACATATAGTCATCCCAGCTTGAAGCAGATTGCAGTACTACAAGAGCACAGCAAAGTACTTGAGTCACAAGTTTTCAAGTTGACTGTCGAAAATAATACTCTGCAGTAATGTCTAACTGACACATCTACTAACTTTGGATTGACAGATGCAGGGGTGTGTTTCAGCACCTAGCAGGTGCAGTTGGCTTACATGAAACAGACCCAGCACAGTTTGATACAATGATGGTCCCACAGTCATCTCCAAGCGATTTTACATGCCCAACACCTGAAACTCATCTGAAAATCTGTTTCTGGGATCAAAGTGATTGGAATGCCTTCCTTGAGTCATCTGAGGGATGACTTAGCACATGTGGGACACTTGGATTCCTCAAGGAAGACAACAGCAATCCACCATCTGACAGCACAGCAAAGGCCATCCAAAAGACACTTTGAGGGGGTGGGCAGAATTAGCTAACTGCAAACTGGCTCCAAAATCTTGGGGTCAGTTGTGTGTGAGTGGTAGGCAATTAACTCATAACCTCATGGAGAGTGCATTCCTGCTTTTCAGATTTGCAAAGAATGGTTGGAAGCTGGACTACTTAGCAAGCAACTCATACCCAGCATGGCAGAAGACCCATTTGGACAGTGAGGGGATTTGGAAGATGAAAAAATCTCAGGACTGCAAAGATAATGATGAGGACATGGAGATGGACAAGAAGGACAAGAAACAGAAACTCCTTGAAGCTAATGTCAAGTCAGAAACACCAGATAAAAGAATGAAAGGTGAGTGTATTCCATACAATCTCAATGAACTGCAGTGAAAGCCAGTTTTTAAGAGGACCACAAAATTGATAACACTGGTTTGGCAGTGTCAAACCTCTCTCCAATGTTGTTGTCATCTCTGCCTGTCAGCAAGATGACCCATCTTCCATCTATTGCAGAGGGTGCAGCCTCAACAGCATTACCATCTCTGCCTGTCAGCAAGATGACCCATCTTCTGTCTATCACAGAGGGTGCAGCCTCAATGGCATTACCATCTCCACCTGTCAACAACATGTCCCATCTTCCATCTATTGCAGAGGGCACAGCCTTGATGGTGTTACCATCTCCACCTCTTAGCAACACATCCCATCTCCCTTCTGTTGCAGAGGAAATGACATGCACAAATGAGAAGGAGATTGTGCCATGCACACCCCAACCAGAGCCAGAGCCAGTCACTGTCATTCCTACCAAGATATCAGTTAACCCACTGTGAGTATACACATGAATAGGAACCTTTTCTGATGATGTTTCTTAGAGTGTGCTTGGCGATTGCTGCCAACAAGGCTTGGGAGTCCCTACCCAAGCTCCCAAGTGACCTGAATGGCAGCAAGATAGAGAATGAAGGAATGGCAATTCCATCAATGACCACCAAGTCTGCCAAGGGCAATGTGAAGGTGCCCAGGAGGATGTGACCTAGTCCAACCAAGAATGGATGGTATGTTTAAATTGTTACTATTTTTTGGTCTGATGTATTGGATTATCAGAAACCTCTGCACACTTCAATGGCTCAAGAGAATTCAACTGAACAGAACCACTTCCAGAAATACTAAAATTCACTTTCTGCTGACAAAGTCAAGGTATCATCTACTTCTTCCAACTGCCCTCACCACTAACAGAGCTTATATTCTAGTCCTATGTTGACAAGGCTGCAAGTTTGGTAAAGTAGCCATTAGTTGTGATGATTTCACACTAACAGAGTATAGGTTAAAAGTGGTGGCTGGGACCCAAAGACTATATGCAATGGCACCATCTACTGAGGACAACTCACATTCATCTCACATTCAAGCACTCAAGCTATCGCTATATCACTTTGGACTTGCACACCATGTCATATGCATTTGGTTTGTTTTCATGTCTCTGCACTCGCACACTTCTTGCACCCACCTGTCTCACTTTCATGTCTCTGCACTTGCATTTGTGTTGCAATGATTCCCCTGCATGCATCTCGCTTTCAAGGCATTTTTGTTAATTTATTCTGCATTTGTTTACCCATGTTAGACTTGCTCTCATCATTCCCTGCTCTCCTGTAGTTGTCTCCATGGACAGCTGGTAGGGGGTAATGTGTACTAGTTATCATAGCAATGCAAATGATATTGGTGCATGTATGGCAATATTTCATATAAACTGCAAAGCCAGTAATAACCATATCTAGTGAGATTCAAGTAGATTTCACGAGCATGCAGCATGCACTGAAGAATATGTTGGAATGTGACAATTTATTTTGGTGGTAAAATTCTAATATATGGTCATGCCAAGTACTGCCCCAACATTTTGCAAATATAAGAATCGTCCAGTTTTCTTTCGGAACATGTTCCCTCGTGGTATAATTCCGACGTCCGCTCCGACTCATATTTGGTCATGTCTGGCCACGCCCGGACATGTCGAGTTTTCACTGGGCTTGAGTGTTGAGTAAGCGGGATTGCGGAAGACCACTTACAGCTGAGACGTCGTCTAACATAGGAGAGTGCCATCGGAGAGACGCAGCTTTTATCTGAAACGCTGGTTAGGACTACGGCCGACGGTGACACATATGAGAACTGACAGACGGAATTAATAAACTTGATACAAGCAAAGTACGTATAGTCGTTTGCAGACTCGTCGACAACCTCGTTATCGTGGACCGCTTTTGGCCGGAGCTGCTTGTGTCCTACACATGGCCGATCAATGTCGAACGGAACGCCCAAACGGCAACACATACGGACATACCTCTTTGCTAAGCATATCCAAACAGGAATGGCAGAAAGGGGTAGTCTTCGTCGATCAGAGATTGTGCATCACCTGGATATAAGTAAGGTACCTTCTTTAAGCGATGCATTCCCCTCCAGCCGCGGCAGCGAAACTCACTGCCAGAACACCCGAATGACCAACGCAACCCAATCGTTCTCGCTAGCAACATTGACTCGTTCTAAACACATGGGAAAGACATAAGACTCTACCTGAACGACGAGTCATTCGCACTCACAACCAACATAAAAAGTTCAGCTCCATTACGCTTCCATAATTGATCTGTTTGCAGTTGCCCAAGGTGCCGGAGTCGTTGCCAAGCATATAGTCGGTTCTTGTCCTCTCTCATCAGGTAGACATTCTAGTAGCATGGTGTACCTTCACGCACCTTGATAGACGCACCACTCGTCTTTGCATCTACATCCTTTGGCATTCCTGTCACTTTCTCCCGGCATGTCACATGAGTCGCGTGATGTGTCGGGGGTTGGTTGAGCTGGGTTTGCTGTCAGCTGGTGTTCGTCGCATCGATGGACTCGCCAGGTCTGAGATCTGAACGGGCGCTCTGCTGTCCCGGAATGGAACTTGCGAACCCGGATTCGATGATGCCGAGAGTATTGGATTCGGAACGACGCCCGTCCGCACACTGGGATCCACGTCTGCGATATCTGAAGTGCTCAACGTCGTCCAGTATTGGGGCTTCGGTCACTGTTGTCACTCGAGAGAGGATTGACACCTTCCCCGTCCTTTCGCCGTTGGAACCTGGGGGAGCAGATGTCTTCGAAGTACCGTCGTTCGTGTCTGCGATTCACTTTGACGCCGTCGTCGTCAAGATTCGCATAGTCTCCCTGGGCGAGCTGGTAGTTATACTTTGCAGAGAGCCTGACAAACTCTGCCAACGGTGCACAGATCTGGTGGAAGAGAGGTGATCTGTAGGTGTCCGCCAATCACGCGGTACAACCGACCCGATCTCATGCTTTTGCAACAACCGTACAGGGTCGCATCAAATCAATTATGCAGTTAGCCATGTGTGCGTATTCCCGTTCTTTTGAACCTTTAGTCCGAACGTTGGCCAGGTGTCTCAAAACATATCGCATTATCGCAGACAAGGGTGCTGGAGTAGCAAATGCGACCGTGTGTGCCCGTTTCAGATGGAATGCGTAAGCTATGTGCGTGCCAAGAATGCACAGAGATAAGTTCTGAACATTTCCCATATGACGATACTTGTTGTTGAGGTGCCCAATTTGTCGCCATGTAAATCAATCAAGATACTGAATACGATGCGCTTAGGTCGTATCTGTCGAGATTGACTCGAAAACCCTGAAGGAGGCTGTTAACGACGCAATGGGAGATTGGGATGCGAACCTTCCTGCAACGCACTTCCTCGTCGGATCCATCATCAACTCCCGTATATTGTCTGCGATTGGAAAGAGGTGAAATCAAAGCACATATGAGGGAAGCGACAGGAGAGTGTCGACATGCGGCTGTCGCATACGTTGGTGCTGGCACGGGTCCTTCTACGAGTTTATCCCGGATACATCAGTGTACCTCGTTGGGTGTTGAGGCAGGAAGCGACGGTGCACACGGATGAATATATCGTGCTAGTGTGCTATGACAGATCGCTTCAGGTCCCCACCTCGTGCCTTGAGATGATGAGGCGCAAAGATGCGAACTATACGAGCGGGTGGGTACGTCTAAATTTTCTGCAGCCAACTCGTGTTTATCGCAGCTGACCGTTCCCCCGATATCGGCGCAGGGCTACTAGTCTTGATCAACAACAACTATGTCACAACACTTGTTCTAGGCAGAGCCTCGCAACGAACCATTATCCAACGAAATGTAGGCTGGACGTCTGGACGGCTCTTGTTAGTGGGGAGATGGGAAGGAGCGGAGCAGTGGTAGTTGGGACAAGGGCTGTCACGCTTGACCCGGCAAGTATAGAAAGCGTGTCAGTGAGGTGCTGACGGATTCCAAGCAACTTGCCATGCCCGCAAAAGAGAATAAGCATTTTATAGTGCGAGTTCCAACCCTCCGAAATCAAAGTTATTTTGTGTCCCTCTTTAGCCATGGCGCGCTCACTTACAACACTTGTTGAGGTGATTGGTCCTAGGGGTTCGTGTTCTTGTTTTGTGTGTGCTAAAGTCCTGGGGTCAACGAATAGGAAGGACGTACAAGAAGCTGTTGAATCGCTGCCAGTGCATCTGTGCCCGGCACTGGGGTGGGTCTAGCACATGCCATTAGATCATGAATCCAAAGAAAACTCATTGATAGTCCTATAGCCTGTCCTATGTCCCTCTCATAGCACTGTCAACGTCCCTGCACCGACTTGGCTTCCGTCACAGATTCCTTCATTTATGTCGTTTCGCGTGTAAGTTCTTCCTTTATATTAGTTGGTTGTCATCAGAATATGTATACCGCATCCCCCAGATGGGATCCACCGGTTCTTCTGTCAAAGGGTTCGTGAACAGCGAGTTTCCCGACATCATCGCTCGTATCTGCAAGCACGCTTTCATACCCCTTGCCGCGGGTTTCGGAGTTGCTACACAGGTTCACTTTGACGCCGTCGTCGAAGCTGGAGCTCATGGCGTCGTCGTCGGGAGTCGCATAGCCTCCCTCATCAAAGAAGCGCCGGCCAGTCAAGTTCCTCAGGTAGTTGAGAACTTCTGCAGAGGACTCCAGGGACCATCGCCCCCCAACTCCTCCACTGCCGGAGTCCAAAGTTCGCAATATCATTACCCGGTCGTTGCTGCAATATCTCGACTGACTGGAATGAGATTTCTCCTCCCGCGCTTCGGCCAGTATGTACCGGAAGCACTTTTCAGCTGTCTCATCGAGTTAGAGGAGGCTCACAACGCTATGCAGAATGATCCAATGTTCTGGGATGAGTTCGAAAGCCACTATGGTTACATGAACCGCCCTTCCAAGCTATACGGTATTTTGCAGAAGGTCTGACCAAGTATGCTAATGGTGCACAGATTTGGCTGAAACGACAAGATCTGTACGTGTCTGCTAATCACACAGTTCAATCGGTCTGATCTCATGCTTTTACAGCAACCATACAGGGTTACATAAAATCGATAACGCGGTTGGGCAGGTGCGCGTTTGCCCGTTCCTTTCAGTGGTTTAGGCTGAGCGTCAGCCGAGATCCTGTTGGCTAAATGTCTCAGCAAAACTCGCGTTATTGCAGAAACGGGTACCAGACAACATGGTGTACTTGTTTCGGGATGGAGTGCGTCATCTATATGAGTGCCGAGGATGTACGGAGACAAGCTCCAAACGTCTTCTGTATGCGGATGCTTGGTGCCAAGGTGCCCAACTCGCCCTGAAGAAGGATGCTGTTAACACAGCAATGAGAGATTAGGTTACGAACCTTGGCTACAACCCATTTCCTCATCGGATCCTGTTTCGGCCCTCACCCATTCCTGACTATGGTCCGCGACTATCGAAAGCTGATCGGACGTGAAATCAAAGCACAGATGAAGGAGGCGGCAGGGAAACTTCCGGATGTGGTTGTCGCATGCGTTGGAGGCGGCAGCAATGCCATTGGGTCCTTTTACGAGTTCATCCTGGATCCATCTGTACACCTCGTGGGCGTTGAGGCAGGAAGCGAGGATGAGTATATGGATGAATTTATCGCCCTTGTGTACTCACTCCCGGCAAGGTATCACGGTGATCGTCACGGTGCCACGCTAGCTAGAGGCAAACCAGGTGTCTTGCATAGAGTTCGAACGTATGTCCTACAAGATCCCCCTGGTCAAATCATAGAAATGCATTCTATCAGTGTTGGATTGGATTATCCTGGTGTTGGACCAGAACACTCCTGGTTGAAGGACGGCAAACGTGCTGAGTACATCGTTGCGACGGACGAGGAAGCTTTGAGAGGATTCCGTCTGTACACTCAACTCAAGGGTATCATTTCAGGATAGTGTTCTTTGATTATGGAGGGGGCATGTTTGATGATGCATTTCAGCATTGGAATCTTTGCATGCTCTGTGGGAGGGCATTTGCCGAGCGAAGTCACTTCCCAAGGAAACCAACCTAGTTACTGCAAATGACATGTTTACCGGTTTCTCTTACCTCTGTTGACACACTGGAATACAGTGCCTCTCTGGGAGAGGTGACAAAGACATAGAACAGATCTCCCAGCTCTTGCCCAGAAAATGGGCTGATCACCTGACTGGCACATTTGAAAGATGGTAGATGGAATCTAGACATAGAAGGGAAAGATTGTAGAAGCTGTGAGTGATCATGTAAATGAGGGCAAAATGTGCATTCCAGGCAGTTAATGAACAAGTATGAACCTACATATAACTCCATGACTATGCTTGCTTGTGCACCCAAATGATGATGGCAGCCTCATCTTCCCCCCTCAACATTCAACTAGAACATGGCTGGCGCCGCTGGCAGGCCCCTTGTTTCCCACCCTGGAACGTAGCCCATGTCCAACGCACTACATGCACTAGTGCCATTCGACCACATAATACAATGTAGAGATACATAACCTCGTGAAACTACCAAAACTTAGAGAAACCCGACCACGAAACCCATCAAGCCACCTAAAACTCCACACTTCCGAGGAAGTGAGGTCCCAAGAGATCATGGCTATCGTCAATCAGAATCAAGGGAAATACTCGACGACAGAAGACACTTACGAATCATCCTCAATCAGAAAACACTGTGCACGGATAAAGGGATACGTAGCGCCACATATGTAACCACCCAGAAGCCAAATGAGGTTGATGAACCCCAACGAGTAGAAAACGTCACTAGGTGACATTGTTACACAGGACATCATGTTCGTGTTGACCCAAAGGCAATCACGGTCTGTGATCGAGCGAGGCATTGATCTGAAAACAGCAGATAGTCCATGGACGTCATTGCATGGCACCAACCGAAAACCACGAGCGCCGTATTTTATGAGGGCCTGCATCGTCTTGACACCCCAAGGACCGAAATATACAGGGCCCGGATTTACCATAGACATGAGACGGAGGGTGAGTGCGGGATAGGCACAGAACACGCTGTCGGCCATGATGAAGTTCATGACCGCAGTGCTGTGACATTCGAAAATGGGAGAAACGGCTGCCGCCGTTGTGGAGACGATGACATCGATGCACTGACGCGTGTTGGAAAATGAAACCACAGCTCGAATTGAAGACGAATCGTGTGGTCCTCCATTTATTGATTGTTGCCGCACAATTTCGTACCCTGACTCATGCACGCCAGTGAGCAGCCGCCTGGGTCGACAGGATACCGCACTTACCTTCACGTTCCAATAGGACAGAGATGCTGGCCAAATAACGGCAGGACACATATATATCGAGATTCGGGGGAGACCACGAAGTCTCGTTTGCTGGTAGCAGGATGTGCAGAGCACACAAACCCAAAACGACCGCATCACACGCTCGCAAGATGCTTTTCAGCGTCTTGGTCGAGCCGAAGAATGTGGCCGTCATGACATGCAGGCAGTGTTCAATGTAATCATGCGCGATAACATTGAGTGGAGCACTGGCCTGCGCTAAGGCAGCGATATCCTGAATGTTGCAATAGCCAAGGATATGACGTTTAAGTTCGAGAGGCAAAGAATACATAGAAGGCATCTGAGGGACATTGAACGCCGACCTACAATCATACAATATATAGTGCAGATGGCAACGGGCACAAGGGGCGCTTGGGCCCTCTTTTCACGCCGCGTGATGGGCATAAGGGGCAGTGAGGAGTTGTAGCACGCGCACATTGGGCGATGAGGGGCAGCAGAGGTTTTGCAGCAAGCGCTCTAAGCGCCACAGAAAGGGGACGCAGAGCGTGTCATATTACAAATAGATAGGAGCCAGGACATAGTTGAACGAAATGCACCCCACAACACACGCTGTCCCTAAAATAGAAGAGATTCGAGTATTTTAAGCACCGGTATGACTCGTGGAAGTTCCAACCGCCGGGAAGCGTGTAGCCAATCTGAGCAGAGACTCTAGCAAGCAGGTGACGCGGTCAGGGAGAAAATACTTACACCAATAAGACATGGATAATGTCCTGTAGATCGTCTTCCGCGCGAATGTTCATCGGTGTCAAATGTGTGGGTCGCACTTTGACGAAGATGTAGGAAGCATTTTCGCGCTCTGTCTCATGACTTCCTAGATCAAAGAACACGACATAAAGCCTCATCCCAACCTCAACACGCGTCGTCGAGATTTCGACATCAGGGGCAAAGAGGTATTGTGTACCGGAGATCCGGATGTCATCGCTGTCAGAGACCTGCACATTCAAACGTCGAGGGCCAGATCTTGGGCCAAACAAAAAGCCCCATACTTCATAGCGAGTGCTGTTGTCGACCGCAGGTGTTAATGAGGACATGATGTTTTTCTAGGTGATGAATCCAATGAATCAAACGCAACAAGCTCTGGAGACGGTGGGACATACCAGCTGCTCAATGACAGACAGGGATATAGTCAACGGCGTGTCAAAAATCTGGGAGCAGGTGAACCCAAAAATAGGATGCCGACTCGCCCCCCTCAAAAACTGGTCATGCCCGGAGTGCTGAAAGAGATGATAGATCACCCCCAACGGAACGCACGCAGTGTCTCCAAGAATAAGACATATAGCTTCAAGGTTATCGGGCCTCATTTCTCCACAACACGCGCAGTGCCAGCGAGAACCTGACAAACTCAGCAGACTGTCATGGCCCATGGTGGCAGAAATCACCTCGCAGAGCACAGAAGTGACAGTGATGATACTTACTATCAGTGCAAGCGCTCATCTGAAACCCTGACATTCTCATCGTAACGATATGCACATGTCGACGACCATGAGATGCGGAAGCGTTACACCAATGCCACTTTCAGTGACAGTCACAGATCTCACGGATAACATTAATTTACATGATGTATTTAAGCCCATGTCACCCATTGGAACTCCGGAGCGACTTCAAAGACCACCAGGGCGATTACAACTGGGAGACATCCCCGAGAAACATGAGGAATCGTCATTACAGTTGTGGGGATGTCTCACCATACGGGACTTCTTGTTACCAGTAGCGGAGCCCTCATTTCTCAGACGTACGCGTTTGAGGGGGTTAACAGGTACTCGGAGTGGAGCACGCAGCATGTGCATCTCACGAGCAGCAGTAGTAAACACCGACTTCCTATCACCTTTGATAAAGAAGTGTAAAATTGCGAAGTGGACCTGAACGATAGCACCACATAACAGGCGGTGGTAGTCGACTGGCTCGACGGCTATGCCATCGATGTCGAAGGCGGGCAATGGCGAAACATAGTGAGTAGACGCAGCCCGGATGAGGGCGTCCTTCAAAACCTCTTGAACAGGCCACTTGGCTGTTGCCATTTCTGAACCGGGGTCATGAGATGAGCCGGAGCATCAAGGACATGGAAAAACATACCGTTGCGGGACATACTCTCGAGATCGTCCTCGTTGTCTTTTTTCTATGTGGAACCAGAGGGCATGGCGATCGGTCAGACCAGGAAGATACGCCGCCATGCAGACCTACATTGAATAAAGCATGGCTGAGTCAAATACATGGCTGACCACGGCTTTCACGGATGCATGAAAGCAAAGTCTCTCCTTTTTTCATGGGCACCAGCTTCTCCAAGGCCCTGATATTGGAGACGATCGACGCAAAGTCTTGTTGGGTACTACCGTAAACAGAGTCGCGCTGCACCGCGAGAAGGTTACAGGTGAGCTTTGTTTCGACAAAATCACGGCCGAATGCATTCTTGGCGGAGTAACCACCCTCCGGGCCCATAAAGAAACCTTGACGATCGATTTCAAACATGCCACTAAGAACCAACTCCGTGACGTCGTCTGTGCTGTCTTTCAGCACAGCGACGTCGCCCGTGGCCCCGCCGAAGAACTCTGCACGGGCCGCCAAATTCGGCGAGGCAGCGTAAATAGCAACAGTACTATCCTTGAGAATCTCCACCATGGAGGAAGATGACAGTGGTGCCTCACTGGCGGCTGTGCTCTCAGAGAGATCAGTAACTGTGGGGAGCGACGTATTGATGTTACCGGTCGTCGAGGAATCAACGGCATTCAATGGCGACATGCTTGTAGAAGATTCGTCAGGGGATGAAGTAGTTTGTGGCCATCTCGAGGACATCACGCGCATGTATGTGACACACGATAGGGGTGACCTTGAGGGGGCGACCATAAAGGAGGTGGCGGGAGAGTTGATGAAACGCGTGATGCGCAAGCCAACCTTGGCTCAAGGATGACCGACTTCTGGGCTCCGTTAACATGGCAGGAATTGTTTGACACTCTTCCTGCAGGGACACTCTCCAAAACCTTGCGAACATGGGCGCAATTGTGGCCGGCAGTACATCACTTGCCACAGAATCTGCAGGATGTGATCCGAGAGGCGGCCAGAGCTAAGGAAGAGGCTACAGCAAGTCGCAAACGCAAAGCGAAAGAGAATCGACAAGACCGATGGCGTCGCAAACAGGCAGGGCAAGCAGAAAGCACGTCCGCCAATGAATGTGGTGGTGAACACGAACAGGCCACTCACCAACTATGGGCGGAGTATATGCAAGTGCCCACTGATGAACAAAGGGAGCATGTCCTCCGACTGACTTCAGTTCATCGCCTTGGAAAGATGCAGTCTTGGTGACACCGCGCCACGCTGTCCGTATGCATTGGGATTCGAAGACTGCGAAGGAACGTGCGGCGATGGGGAGTTTATCTCTGATCATTTGTCCTGCTTCCGACACTATAGGGGGACGGGCTCTCATGTTACCAGAAAAATTTGCAGTGGCTGCGAACCCAAAAGGTGGCCGCGGTCAGAATCGACTACACAGCCAAATGTAGCTAACAGTTACCTAACATTTGACGAAAATTATATATTTAATCGGAACTTGGCCTTGAAATAGACATTTCCCAGCCAATTCGTGAATGTTAGGCCAAGTATCTGTTTTAGAAACATTCTCTTGGGCCGTTTTATCCCAAGTTTTTGAACGTCAATTTTAGGTCGCTCGGGGGTCAGTGGTGCCTCAGATTTCTATCACCACAATCCTTATGCTTATATGCTACATTAATGAAGTAGCACACAGTCAAATTGATATAATACTTAACCTTCTATCAATATTAAAGTAACATCAAGTCTAGATCTACTGTACCTGTAGTACTTGTAAATCAGACATCAACACCAGTATTAATGCAAACTTGTGATTTGCTCAGAGGTAGGGAGTGAATTTTCACGAGGACAACAAATGGCAATCAATTGCTACCCTACAGGCACTCAAGAGTGTACATGATAGTCTTTGTATGACAACATTAATATAGTGGACAATTTCTGCACTTTCTCCCACACAAGCTCTCTGATGGACGATGGTGAATCAAAGCTGACCATACCTGAGTTGAGCTCTGAAACCCAATTACAAATGAACAGACCCTCCATTGGGACCAATGGATTCCAGGTCAGCCACACATTGTGGGGGAACTGAGGGAAGGCTGCAATGAATGCCATCCAGAAAAATTCCCAACTCCATAGCCAGTTGGGTGAATGCTTCTCAGTGATGCTGTGGACCAACCAAAATTGAATTTCATCAGTGAGGGAAGTCCATGCTGCACCATTGAGGTGGTTAAAAGTAGGGGAAAGTGGAAGGTAAGGAAAATTTGTCTGTGAAATCTGTCAGCAGCAATGCATGACACCATATGAGCCACTTACATGTGACAGAGGTTGAAGTGGGGTATGAGGCATTGCATCAGAGGTGTGCAAAGATGGCCTAAGGTGTGAATATTCTTCAGGGACATGGATAGATATCTGCATAGGCTGTGAATGGTAAAATGTGTCAGTAGATGGTGAAAGAAATAGGTGCCTCACAATGCAAGGCAGTGCATCAACAATGTTCAAGTGGCCATCAAATGAGATTGAACAATTTACTGGACCAAGACCAATGCCATTGACACATTGGATGGTAGACACATTGATGGAGGCCGTAGCCATTCTGGTGGACATGGGGTTGGTGGTGTTGTTGATGGCACAAAATGCCAAACAGCAGTTGGTGTCAGTCACGTGACATCACTGCCACACTGGATGATCAGTGCATGATAACATATGCTCGCCAGCAGATGTCCAGCACCTTGTCAAGCTCCTTAAACTTCAAGAATTGGTTGTGAATGTGAGTTGAGCTTGTCAATTTATCCCCATCAATTCCCTTGTCAATAATTGAGTAGGAATCACACCCTAACTCAGTCTCAGTTTCAATAAAATCAACACTACTGATAAGCAGTTCAGTGGACTTGCAGATTACCCAGACAAGTCAGCTCATAAGTAGGTAATGGGCCATTTTTCATGTATGTATGTGTTGATGTACTCACCCCCCCAGGTTGCATTAATCTACACAAGTGTGTGTACCACCAGTCCCCACAGCACTTGATCAGATCCAGAGGGAGCCACACACCTGAGGGGGTGCAATTCCAATTGTGAGTAGTAAATTACTGTACCCTTCATACCTGCAGTGGTACATACCAGTGTACTACTCACAATTTCCTAGCTTTAATCAATTTACACAGTTACCTTTCTGCAAAATGCCCAGATATTCAGCAGAGCACCAGGCATTGGCAGACCCCAAAGGTGAGCTTGAACAGTACTGTAAGTTTGAAACTGAACTTTCAAATGCAGTGTTCAGGACTGTTCCTGGTGCAGACAGGGTTCAATGCCTGGTTTGTCCAGGGAAACATGGTGAATATTTGACAATGTGCCACTGTCATGTCCCTAAGCATGCCAGCACAAGCAAGCATCAGTCAAATCTGGTGGATGTTGAGGAGTCCCATGGAATGCATAGATCACTGGTATCACCTGAGCCAATGAATATCAGCTCACCCCCATTGCAGGTGCCTCCAGCTCTACTTGCAGATATTCCTGGCATTTCACTGTATGGAAGTGGGGGAGATGTGGATGGTAATGCCATTGATGTCATATGGGATAAAACACAAAAAACCATTGAGCTGACATCCACTGACTATTATGAGGAAATCATGGGGATGCTTGAGAGGGGAGAGTCATTATTCTCATGCCCATTGCCAGCATCAGGTGAAGAATTGGGGCCTGAGATGGATGCATGTTTTGATGAAGATGGAGATCCACACTGGAGTGATCTTAAATGTGAGGATGTGATAAGTATGTTTACCTTTGTCTTTAGGGGTCAAGACTAATATTTCTGCTGCAGCTCCAAACACTCCAAACCAATTTGTCTCACCAGAAGAAGTACCCACTGACTGCCCAACCTATCCATGGTCAAACATGATGGTATGAATTAAATTGTCTTATTCAAGATAATGAGTTGTTAAAGCAGTGGAGTTTACAGGAGTTTAGAACTCATCTACTGTTTAGCTCACCATGTCTGTGTTTCTCTGAGGTCCAGAAAAGAGCAATCTTAGGTTGGGCATGTGCCATTGGGGTAACTGGTATCCCATCTCTCTACAGTATGAAGAAAACATACCAAAGGATAAAGAAGTTGATGGGGGATCCAACTGAAAAGGTTACAGTGCCATCTGGCACAACATTTTACATGAATTCAGTTGCAAAATTAATTGCAATGGTAAGAGTATGAATCACTCATGCCCAGCCCAGTGCTAACTTGTATTTCATCTCAGGATTATTCCAACCCACTTACATGCCTTACTATGCAGGACTTCCCAGAGGAAGGTGAAGGAAAAATGTCTCAGGTTTATCATGGGGAGAAAATGCTGCATGGTCTTCCACAATGTCTTGCACCACCAGGTGTTACAGCAGTTTTCAGTACCGAGGGCACCGGCCAAACACAACAAAACTCATAGGTATCCTAGATAAAATATATATCTCAAATATTTCACTCAATTCTTGGTGGATCTGAAAGAAAATTTGATATTCTGAATCAGCATTATCAGCTCTAGGGGATGATGTAGAAATCATGATGAAATAGCTGCTATTTTGGACAGGAAAAAATACTTGGTCATTCTGAGCATATAACAACAATTGCAAGTGATTTACACATTTCTATGGCTGTAAATGCCTCTAGCCATGATCTATACACTGGTGGTGAGGGAACCATGGTGAAAATCCAGTGGTTTTTCCATTGTTTTGTACCAACAGAGAGCAATCTGCACTCCAAATGGTGCCAATCATGTAACAAAAATTGCTCACTCCACATTGCATATTTTTTTTACAAAAGTTTCAGATCCATAAAGCCCTTCAAAATACCTAGGGAACAGTATCATACAGAAATGCACTTTGTTTCACACTTGTTGAGGTAGTTGTCCATGCCTGTCTTATCTTTGTGTGTGAGTTGTGCATGCTGACTAATCAAGTCAGCTGCCTCGATGCGCAAGCATGTTTTTCTGTGGTACTGGCCTGTGAGCATGTGAGTGATTTCCATATGGCATGCAGAAGGCACTTTTCTAGTTGTACTTGCAGGCAATACTCTCGAGATCTCAAGCAGCGAATCATCTATCAAGCTCATGTACTTGGTCAGACCACAACTTCTATTGCCATTTCACTCGACATGCCACTTCGAGTCGTTCAACATGTCCTCAAGACATACCATGAAACTGGTGAAGTTGTCAGTGAACAACAAATGGATGGGTGCATACCTTTGATGTCTGAAATGGCAGTAGAGGTATGTCTAAATCATTCTAACATTGGAAATAGCATTGAGAGCTGATCATATCCATATCTTAGTTCATGCTGGCACTTCTTGAACATTCCCCCAACCTCTATCTTGAAGAAATTCAGCAACAATTACTCTTGCTTCACAACATCGAAGTCTCTATTGCAACAATATGGTGTACACTCAAACGTTTGGGTCTGTCTTCAAAAAAGGTACGACATATACGCTTTGATCTCAATTTTCAGACACTGACATCATCATATTTTAGCTTTCTCAAATTGCCAGTGAGCACAGTGAGGAAGCACGTCACGAGTTCACCATGGCAATTGGTGAAGACTCTCCTGACCACATTGTCTGTATTGATGAAAGCGCTGTGAATGTACTTACAATGTTTTGCCTGAATGGATGGAGCCATTCTAGTATGCGGGCACACAAGCGTTGCAACTTCATTCGTGGGACACGGTATGTATTCTCCATATGATGTTGCCTTCTTTACATAACACTCTTTCCAACAGATATTCCATCCTTCCAGCTCTGATGATGAGTGGGATAATTTACAGCCATATCAAAGTAGGCGTGTACAATGGCAATCACTTTCTCAACTATCTTTGTGGACTCCTTGACATCATGAATCCATATCTGGCCCCTCATAGTGTACTTGTGATGGATAATTGCAGAATCCATCATGTTGATGGTGTAGAAGAACTCTGCTGGGAACGGTATGTTTTTTTTTCTTTTTTTTTTTTTTCAGTACACAAACTCAAGTAACTATTACAGTGGCATCAAACTTGTTTATCTACCTCCATATTCCCCTGATTTGAACCCAATTGAAGAGTGTTTCTCGTACTTGAAGGCCTACATTTGCCACCATGGCAATCAGTTCCGTGCTATCATTGAATCTGGAGACAAAACACTTCCATATTTGTTTCTCTATGGCACACTTGATACAGTCACTCCAGAAGCTGTGCGTGGGTGGTTCTATAATGCAGGATATTTGTAGCTTTGTAGCTTGTGTCTGTATGCAACATGTATGTTGGTTGTCACACTGATGCATACCCGAAATTTGTGCAATGTATGCTTGCTATAACAATTACTGTGAAGGACATGATGTATGTAGGGAGTATCTACTCTACCCTTGTGTGTTTTTTGCATTCCACCTGCCGAACAGCTTGTGCAACCTCAGACAGTAAAAAGTGTGAATTCCTGAGGCTCATACCAAAGTCCTTCATGAGCTGTTCCTTGCTCAGGCTTCTAAGTTCATCAATGTTGTAAAAGTCCATCACTTTGAATTGTGGAATATAAACAGATAGTTTGTGCTTTGGAAAACTTGCATCGAGCTTGGTGAGGAAGTCAACGATCATTGGATATGTTGGCTGGGTGTCATAGTTGAGCTCACTGGGAGACAGCTCACCTCGCTTCTTGCCCATGGTAGGTGTCACTGGAGTTGCTGGAGCCTGATACACCAGAGGCATCATTGGGGGCATGGGGGGCATGGGGGGCATGGGGGGCCATCCATACATCGACATATAGGGACTGTTGAGGGGCATTTGTGTGGCTGATGTTGACAAGGTCTTGTCACTTTGTGGAGCATGGAATTCTGAAAATAGATCGCCTTTTGGTGGGGTCTTCAGCATGACTCCATGCATCTCATGTCCCTGTCACCGTCAGTAAATTGATCGATGTAGCCACTAACAATGAAACTTACAAGTGCGAGTGCCCACCCTCGATGCTGGTTGAATGTCAGGTTTACATGTTGGCCAGCATGGTTGATCTTGCAGTATTTGGAGGGACCACAATGCTGACACAACTTCAGTGACTTCTCCAGCTCCATGAGGGATTTGTTTTCCTTTTCAATCACAGCACTGTCTTCATCATCCACACTGGATCTGTCATTGTCAAGATCGAGAAGGGGAGGATTTTTGCCTTTTCCTGGTGGCTTCTTCTTGCCACACATTGCACATAGGGTAGACATATACTAGTTTTGACAATGAATAAGTATCATACTGACCACAAAACAATTTGAAACACACCTGTTCGCTAACAAGAATCTTGACTGAGACGACCGAGTCTTTCTTCTTCTTCCATGCAGAATTTACCTCCTCTAAGCATCCATCCCAGTCAGCTGGCATTCCAAGATTGATGGCATCATCCTTCTGAGCAGAAGTTGAGAGCTTGTATGAGAGTGTAGGTTTGCGTGCAAAATTCTGACACCCAATAGTGCTGTAGATTTCATCCAGGACCTCTGAAAATGGAGTCCATTGTGAGAAAACAAGGCGCTTGGATCCCTCATTTGCCGCTTGAGGCACCAGTAAAATGACATCTAATAAATCAGGGTAGTAAGGGGCGACAAGTACATTGCAAGATGAAATAACATACTTTTGTCAAGTTCTGGGGAGTTTTCCTTGCAAGATACTGGCTTGACGCTGAGCTGGATGGATTTTTGCTTGAGTGTGTCAACAGGAGAGTGTGCCAAAGTGCCATCAGTGTCATCAGGTGTGATACCAAGGCCATCCTTGTCAAGGTCAGGAGTTTCTGAACAAGGTGCCATGTCCTGGGAACAGATGGAGCTAGTGTCAGGAACTTGATTGATGGGAAAACTGCTTTGGGAGCCAGTTTTTCGCAGCCTGCGAGCACTCGCAGACTTTTTGTTACCCATGAGGAAGACATGTTGTGTGTGGTGTGTGTCTGGGATGAGGCTCATTAGTCAGCATGCACAACTCACACACAAAGATAAGACAGGCATGGACAACTACCTCAACAAGTGTGAAACAAAGTGTGTTTCTGTATGATACTGTTCCCTAGGTATTTTGAAGGGCTTTATGGATCTGAAACTTTTGTAAAAAAATATGCAATGTGGAGTGAGCAATTTTTGTTTCATGATTGGCACCATTTGGAGTGCAGATTGCTCTCTGTTGGTACAAAACAATGGAAAAACCACTGGATTTTCACCATGGTTCCCTCACCACCAGTGTATAGATCATGGCTAGAGGCATTTACAGCCATAGAAATGTGTAAATCACTTGCAATTGTTGTTATATGCTCAGAATGACCAAGTATTTTTTCCTGTCCAAAATAGCAGCTATTTCATCATGATTTCTACATCATCCCCTAGAGCTGATAATGCTGATTCAGAATATCAAATTTTCTTTCAGATCCATCAAGAATTGAGTGAAATATTTGAGATATATATTTTATCTAGGATACCTATGAGTTTTGTTGTGTTTGGCCGGTGCCCTTGGTACTGCAAACTGCTGTAAGGTTGGAAGCAATGCATACTTTGTTGATGAAATTTTGCAAAAAAGCAATGGGGCTTATTTTATTCCAACAAAGTTTTTCTGTGTGCAGAAGAATGCTGAGCAAGACCCAGAGATCCTGGCAATTGGCCATTCAGTTTCATGCACTGATGTAAGTGACCTGAGTTGTGATGAGCTGCTGCATGACTGACTGACACTGGATAGATTGGCTTTTCTGTTGATCCAGAACAAGTCATTACTCCCATCACAACATTTTTTTGTACCTTTACAGATATCCAGGCAAACAATGATGAATTCAAAAATGGCTTTACAGGTGAGTTTTTCCTTTTGGCATGTTTTTTATTGGTGGAAATGTTTTTGTAGAGTCCTCAGCATGCTTTGGAAAACTTATGCCAAATCCACTCCATATCAAGTCTGGAGGTTGTTTAGTGCTATCTGTCCCTCTCATCCTGTTCATGGATGATGTCTCAGGCAACATATCAAAACAATGGAACAAGCATCATGTTGTCTATATGTCCAATGCATCCATGCCAAGGGAAATGGTTGAGAAGGAATTTTGCATTCACTTTGTTACATCATCACCACATGCTACACCCTTGGAGCTCATGAATGGTGTGTCAAAATCTGTAAGGTGAGTACCAAATTGTGCAGAGTTCAATTGATTTCTGACTCTGTCATAATTAGGAAAACAATGGAGGAGGGAGTCATCACCTGGGACTGCAAGTACAAAGCAGAGGTCATGCTCATTGAATACAATGTTTTCATTGCAGGAGACAATCCAATGCAGGCAGAGGAGTGCAGCCATGCAGGACTTCATTGCAACTACTTCTGCGGGACATGTAATGTTGGTGGAACAAATCAAGAGAAGATGTCTGACTCTGGCTATATGAATCTATTTGAGGTGTGTACAGTCCATGTCACATTGGATGACTGACCTACTTTTAGTCCAGTGTGGTGAACTCTGCACCCCTGAAAGAACATTAGCAGAGATCAAGAAGCAGGTGGAGTTGGCTAAGCTGCCTGGGGGGACAGAGAAACTCAAGGGTGCAGTTGCCAGTTCTGGCATATGTGACCCAGTGTCAATGTCTATCATAAACCATTTATTGGAGCTTGGGAAGCAGTTGAGAAAGTGCAAGGCAGGAGTACCAGCCAAGCCTGAAGCAGAGGTTCAGGTGAAGCTGGAAAAGGAATTTGAACTGGCATTGGGTGGACTGTCTCTTGATGACCATATAAATCCACTTCTTGGAATGCCTGGTGTCAACATCCATCAGGATACACCCACAGAAATCCTCCACACTATTCTTCTTGGTATTGTTAAATACTTCTGGGGACTGACTACCTATATTCTTGAGAAGGCCCAACAACTCAACCTCTTCAAGGCACATGCTGGAGTCCATTAACAAAGATGGTCTCAACTCACCTACACTTGGAGCAGAGTATATTTGTCATTACAAGGGATGGACTTATTGGAAAGCACTTCAAAAGCCTTGCTCAGGTCATGCCATATCTAATATATGACCTTGTCCCACAACATGTCTTGGATGGCTGGACAGTGATTGGTGAATTGATTGTACTCCTATGGCACACAGCCATTGATGATGTGGATGAATACTTGGTGAGTGCACTGATGCATTGATTGTTCATGGCATTAATAAATTTCAGGCAACATTAACTCACACAATTCAGAACTTTCTCAGCATTAGTGCCCAGTGTGCTCCCAGCATCCTGATTACCAAGGCCAAGTTTCACTTCCTTCTCCATCTTCCTGACTACATTCGATGCTTTGGGCCTGCAATTCTATTCTCCACTGAATGATATGAATCATTTAACCATGTCTTCTGGTTGGCATCAATTTATAGCAATCAACAGGCACCAAGCCATGATACTTGCCAGCATTTTCAGGCCAAGATATTATCAAACATACAGGTCACTGGGGGGCATTGGTATGATGAGAAGATGAAGAAATGGGTGCATGCAGGGGAGCACATCACAACATTCTTGAAAGCACATCCAGAGCAGTCCCATTGGTTAGGATTGCCCAGTTCATCTGAGAAATCACCTGGTAGGCCTTGCCTATTTGCTGTAGTATTGACATATTCACTCAGTGCTTGACAGGCTATGCACAATTACCTAACAATTCCAGGGGACCAAGGAAAGAGAAGCAAGATCTCCCCATGCATTCAGTGGCACCTGACTTTATCTGCAACCATCAACATGCCTGGTGAGGATGGTCAAGTGTCAAAAAGAAGTAGCCTCTACTATAAATGCCCAGCATTTACTACTAGTCAGCCTTGATAAAGCAGATGTTGGAAGTCATGTTGTTGTTAAGCATAACAGCTTGAAAAAAGCTCCTGAAGACATGGGGGTAAGCATATTCCAAGGAGGCACAACCATTGCTGATAAATGTCTTCAGCTTTGTGTGGCTATGGTGGATGAAATCCTTGTTCCGCATGGGAAACACCATGCACAACATATTGCTGTGCACTGTTTTAAATTTTTGCCTGAACTTCATCCAACCCTTCATGTGCCACAGCTCAGGGTTCCAGAAACTATCCACCAACTCATAGTCACTCCAGAGGTATGTAGATTGTTGGAGTTATTGTTACATGGTACTCATCTTTTGGAAGGATATATTGTCTGTGGTCAATGTGCAACATGACTGCATGGCAGAGGGGAAAAACTGCAAAGAAATGCAACATGTGCCTGTTCAACAAGAGCATGTTGAGACAACAAAGATGCACCTCACTGTTGTCCATGCATCAACAAATGCTTATCTCCTCAATACTCATGCATTGCACAACTATCAGTTCATTTCTGCTGTCATTCCAAAGGCTCTCCACAGTCAAATTGACTCTTCCATTGTTGTTGACCATCACTCACTATGACTGAATGCAGCCAAAGTTGTGCATAGTCAAAAAAGGGGAAATACCAAGGAGGCAGCTATTGCTGAACATGGGAACAAGGAAACCCCTGTGACATCTACATCAGTAGCAGGTTCTGTAAAATCAACAAGGCAAAAAGGGAAGGGGAGGGCAGAAGAATCAGTGGTTGAAAAGGAAGGGCCCAGGAGTGATGGAATGAACACTGCAGATAGGAGCCATAGTGGAGAACTCAATGCCATGCTTACTGCACCTGCACATTCTGCAACCAACCTGGGCTATAGAATGTTGCATATACCACAGCAGCCAACCCATATGGCATGGCCTTCACAACACCAGTCATCACACCCACCAGCCCCCCCCCCCCCATGCACCCCCCTGGATGGCCTACCCACAGTACCATCCAGGACATTTGCAAGCCCCCCAGCAAAAATTACCAGACAATCCCCACCATGCACTTACTGCAGTGGTGGGCCACCCACAGCACCAGCTTGATCCTAGGTCCTCAGCTGCCCAGCAGGGGACTTCAACTCATAGTAGATCTTCTGCAACAGGTGGTATCCCAGCACATTTTTTACATAGCTTTAATTTAAATGAAGGGGGATAAGTTTGTAGTTCCCATAAATTTGTAATGTATATTCATCTCTCCATCTGTGCATGTGATGTGACAACTTGGCACAGTGTGTGTATTCAAATTTTCAACACTGTGGCAAGCCTTGACTTGTGCCACCACTTCCTGTCACTGCCATGTGCACACAACCAAGCTTGCTTTCACAGTATCAAATGCTCTCAGAGGGAAATTCAAGCCAGCAACAAAATGAAGCAAATTCTCAAAGTCAAGCCACTGGCAAGTCCTCTGATGCTGGCTTCTGTCCCATCATGTCCTGGGATGATCTGGATGACAAACACTCCCAATCTCTCTCCTCATCAGTTGGTAGTAGGCATCCATGTTCTGACTCTGCAGAAAACCAAGAGGAAGTGAAACACCATCGCCTCTCTGCAGATCAGGTCTGTAAAGACAAGGGTTTGCCTGAAGGATCCCTGGCAACATTTTCAGAGGTATGTTACAACTCTCAGCAGTCTTGAAAAGTCATCGTTAACAGCCATACAGCTTGAAGATCCAAAGCTCATGATGATCAGTCTCATGGGTACATTGATTGCCTCCTCTGAGGCACAATAGCAGGCAAAGGTGCATGAATACATTGGATCTCAAGACTATGAGTCTGTCATGAAAGACTGCCTGCAAATTTGTCTCACTGCTCCAAACCTAACAGCTTATGTCAGTGGTTTGGCAGACTGGGTCTTCATAAGTTTTTATTTGTATTTATCCCACATCACCAATTTGAGGAGCAGGCTTGTGCCAAGCACCACCCATCAATTTTCAATTTACCATCATCAGCTTTCCAGAATACAGAACTTTCCAACAAGATCAGTGTCTTCATCAAGGAGAATTTGACAATGCAGCAGAGCATCATGAAGCAAAAGGTCAGGTCTAGATCCAACCAGAACAATTCATTACACTGACTGTGCATGTGTGCTAGATCTCTAATAGCATTACAAACAAAGCAAATATCTCAGTTCTTGCAAGGTCACTGATGGACCTGGGTCCCGAAATCACCAAAGTGCATTGGGCAAGGTTCACTTTTCTGGTACATGTCCCCCCTTTTGAGCATACATATACTGACCTGCAATGTTCCCCAGTGCTCCTGCTTCATCAACTTTCAAACAGTCATTGAAGAATCCAAGGCAGTGAGGGAAGCTGTAGGTGATGAGGGCATGAATGATGAAGAACAACTGGACACTGAGCACACCTGGAACATGACCAACTTCTGGAAATATGTCGACTGTCTTGTGCAAGAGATCATAAAGGAAGCTTGTAATGAAGGTACACCAGCAGAATGTCAAAGATTCGTAAACACATTTGCACCTTTTTCCCCCCAATCCTGTCACTTGCAACTCAAATGTCCCAACAGGTTTTATCACAATGCTTTGAAGTTGGATCTGCTGCAGTTCCCTGCTGAGGATGACAATCTCACCCCTCCATTTGAATGTGTCACAATCAAATGGCACAAGGTTCTCCAGGGCACCATGGCATGGGCTTAGATACCCTACTCCATAGCTTGGCAAACTTTGTATCATAATATCATCATTGAATGTTGATTAATGATATGCATTTCTTAAGACTTATACATTATATGTGTGCAACCCAAGCCATAGCAAGTCATCATTTGTAAGGTATGATTCTCAATAACAACACAATGAACCCATGTAGGCTATTTGACATTTATTTGCATGTTCTCTATTCAATGGCTATAGATATTATGCTAATAAAGTACTACATTGGACCCTCCAATTATATAAACCTTGTCAGTATTTGAATGTAATTCATAACAGTAGACACTACATTCTTACAGTGTTATAATGGACTATGGCCTGAACCTCAAGTTTACCTCTGGTCTCATGCTGTGGCAACATTAAGTGTGGTGATGCTACATCATTCCTTTTGAGGGCTCCCCTCAGTCCATACAATGGGACCCATTTCTGTTATTTACCTGGTCTATAAAGTATTTGACAAAAATTCTAAATGAGGCATAATACACTACCTCACATGAATATACACCCCTCTTGACCTAAATTTGACCCCCCTGCCACTTAGCCATGTGGAACATGGTGGGTTGTCAGATGAAGTGGAGCTGATGATCAGCATGGAGGTGATGGTGACTTTCAACATCACAACAGATCTTGACATGGCAAATGGTGCATGAGGTTGGGTGGTTAACATTGTCCTTGACTCGAGGGAGAGTGTCGAGGGGACAGCCAACAAGGTCATTCAGCTGCAATATCCATCACTGTATGTGCTTGTGGAAATGAAATGTACCAAAGCCAGTACACTGCCAGGGCTAGGCAGTGGAGTGCTGCCGGTGACACCTATCTGTAGAACATTCACCATCACAACAGCTGGGGGGAAAAGATCCACAATCTCGCGAGTACAGTTGCCCATAATGCCTGCATATGCTTTCACAGATTATTGCACCCAAGCACAAACTGTCAAACACTGCATCACGGACATTGGCACACCTCCCACAGGACAAATAACCCCATTCAACACATATGTGGCACTGTCTCATAGCTGAGGACATGAGACAATCCACCTGCTAAGAGACTTCAACATACAGCTTTTCACACAGCACCTGAGTGAATACTTGCAGAGAGAGGATGAATGTTTGGAGAAATTGGACATTGACATGAAATGGTGGTGGGAAGTGACAGAGTCCTCCAGGAGTGTATACAGATGATTACATGCTGGCTCATGAGCATCTGTAGAATACAGTTTATTTCCTTAAGTGTCCTGCACTGCCAATGTGGCTGGTGGCATTTCCTGCACAGAGTTGTTGGAGAGGCATGTGTGCGGATGTTGAAAAAAGCATCTCAATTTCAGGCTGGAGTGACCTTGTAAACAAGGTGACCATAATTTCCAGAAAGGACATGAACATCTTCACCCCCTCACCTATGACTCAGCTACTCTGGATAATGCAACTCCACTAGCACCTTAGGTTGCTGGCCAAGGCAGCCCTGTCTTGAAGGTAGGCCAAGATGAGGGACCTAGGAAGGAGACTACAGTAGTAAGTCAGTAAGGTAGCTATTAATTAAAAAAGGAGAACAGTTACCACAGGCTTCAGTTAGAAGAAGTCTGAGGTACACCTGAAGGAAAAACAAACATCCTAAGTGCGAAGATTTATTATGTAAGCTTGTATGATGTAAGCAAAAGTCAGGTAGAGGGGACAACACTTCAACACACCCCCTCAGCATAACAAGACTTAGGAAATAATACCCATACCAGAAGAGAAATGCTCATGCTTCTTGCATGATAGCCCCTTGGTGAGTACATCAGCCACCTGCTCATTCATAGACACATACTGGACTGCCAAGTCTCCACTCTCCACCTTTTCATGAATAAAATGATGACAGATTGATATGTGCTTGGTGTGATCATGAAACATGGCATTAGCTGTCAGTGTTATCACAGATTGATTGTTGACTAGAAGGGGAGTTGGTTGTATGATCTTGACTGCATCTAGTTCATGGAGTAAGGTGTGAACCCAAAGAAGTTCCTTTCCAGCTGCTGAAACAGCCATGTACTTGGCCTCTGTGCTTGACAGAACTACAGAGGTCTGTTTCTTTGAAGACCAGCTTACAGCTCCACCAGACAGGGTAAAGATGTAGCCTGAGACTGAGCAGTGGTCATTAACATCTGTGGCCCAGTCCACATCAGCATAGCCAATGAGGGAGCCTGTCATAACCATGTCTAGACCACCCTAGACTGGCTCTACCCCAGTCTCAACCAGTCTCACCCAACCCCTGCCCTGGTCCTGGCCTTAACCCTTCAACCTAGATATGTGTTAGCTTGTGAGGCACTGCAGGGCAGTGCCCAATCGAGTTGTCTGCTCAGTTGGTACTGGACTGATGTAATACCTGGCCCAGCCACAGGTCCTGCCCCAGTTCCCAGCAAATCCTTTGTTCATAGCTTTGCTTGATAATATTCTTTGTAACATTACTTACCAATCAATTTACCAACCATTGCTGTACCAGTGCAGACTGGTCTCTGGTGCTATGTTACACTTACTTTACCTTTAGTATTTAAGCCATAGGAAAATCTGTTTAGCCTCAGTCTGAAATCAACTTAGTCTCATCTTAACCTGGTCCCCTCTGTTCTCTGTCTCCTGCCTCTCAACTGGACTATGGCCCATGCAAGGGAATAGCACTGCATCTTCAGTCACTAAGTCCAACAGTCCAAACCTCTAGTATCTTGTCTACCCCCCTGACCTTCAACTGGACTCCAGATTGGCTTTGGACTGGTGATGCACTGGACTTAACAGAGCCACCAGGATCCCTTGTGTACTGTAGATGCACACTTGAAGTTTTGTGTAGGTACCAGTAGACTTGCTTCAGCACAGACCAATGTCAGTCTCCAGGGGTAGCAGCATGCCTGCTGAGTACACCTACAGTGAAGGTGAGGTCAGGTTGTGTTGCCAACATGGCATACATCAGCATGCTGAGTGCTGATTGATACAACTGAAGGTCACATGCAGAGGCATCAAGTTTTTCAAGTTTTAGGTTTTGCTTGATGGGTGTGGATACTGTCTGGCCATCCTGCATGCCTATGCACTTGAGAATCAACTCTATATAGTGACATTGGGAGAGTTCTATTGTTCCCTTGTCACAATCTTGTATAATCTCCATCCTGAGTATCCAATGAGCTTCTCCCAAGTCCAAGAGGTCATACTCAGCTGACAGTTGGGTTTTTAGGCATTTGATGGCTTCACAGTGTCACACACCAAAGGTGTTTGGTGATGTGGACATGGATACTACTGATGAATGGAGATGAAGAATAGAGCCCTCATGCAAAGAAGGACAGCCAGAAACATCAGCAGTCATCCCTCACACAAGAATGAGTCATCAATGCCAAGAAAAAAAGAAGGAAGTGAGTTAAGCACCAACAAAAATTCTTAAGCACCTGTGTATGGCATTCCAGTTTTCAACATATCTCCACCATTTCCGCAGATACTGACACCATTCCCACACTTGCTTATAGTGCTCAGCTGCATGATCCTACCTTCCAAAATTGGGAAGGATCTGCACACTCCACATGTTTCTACAGCACTCCCTCCAAAAGATGCTCATTTTGCTAATTCTTCTGATATGGCTGCCTCTGCATCAATCATTTCACTTGTCCCTTTCACTAGGGACCATCACTACATATATCTACCAGGAGTTCCTACCAGCTTCTGTCCTGAAGCATCCTGGTGTATCCCATCCTCATCTGTGATCAGTGCTGCCTCTCTGTCATCCCACCTTGGCCTAGAAGTGGTCTCTTTGAGATGTGACATGCACAGCCTCCCCCTAATGTGATTCCAGTGCACTTTTCCAGTTTCTGACATTACTTGACTCATATTTTGAAATTCTGACTGTCCTTGACTCACCTATTGCCAATACTTACCAATCTTTGGACCTTGCTTACTGATTCTTCACATTCTGGCTTACTTGTCCTTATCAATGCTTTCTAAGACAATTACCTACCACTTACATTCCTTACTTATCAGTTACCAATCACTTACCAAGCATTTACACCTTGTTTTCCATAGGCAACACCCCTGTACTGTATATAAATCACTGTACTTAGAACAGAAGAAAGAAAACATCAGAGAGAGCCCCTCTTGCTTGCATTTTATTATCTTTCAGTAATTCATTCAGCAGCTTCAATAGTTGAGACTTTATTAAGGGTCTAGCTATTGTCTACTTCACCTATTGACATCTATCATCAAGTATCTTCACATCCAGACCTTCCTGGGCTCAGATTAGCTTGGGACATTGAATTAAGTCATCATTCATTCTTCTGTAGGCTGACAGCAGTCTACCCCATTGCAATCCTCTCACATTCTTGCTCCCTCTTTGTCAGGAGCACCCCCAATCCTCAGTACTTGTCTTCGAGTGTTGTAGCTCACAAAATCCCACCCAAATAGAAGGTTCTACCATCTAGGTACTGTGCAGGCACACCACCACTCACTTTCATTGTCTTTTGTGTTGGTTTTGGTTGGTTTTCACCACTGAACCACACTTTGACTCACAGCAGCTCTTTGACAGAATTAGTTTATCATCAACATACACAGCTATGATGATTAAGACACTATCTTCAACCTTGAAAAACAGACTATGGTCTGCATCACTGTGCATGAATCCAAGTGACTTGAAAACTTCTCAAAGTCTCATATACCAGAATTTTGGAGCTTGTTTGAGTCCATAGAGCACATGATAAAGGCACCAGATGATGTCACTAGAGTCTCAAAAGCCTGGTGGAGGATGAAGGTGAATTTCTTCCTTGAGTTTGCCATTCAAAAAGGCAGACTTCATGTCCATCTGATGAACTTTGAGATTGTACTTAGCAGCAAGGGCAAGTAGGATTCTTATCATAGAGAACTTGGCTATGGGTGCAAATGTCTCCATGTAGTCAATACCATGCACCTGCATGAATCCTTTTGTGATGAGTCACATCTTGTATTTATCAATTTCACCTATCAGTCCTCATTTTATTTTGTAGACCCATT